GTTTGAAACATATTACAAGCCTAAAACCGAAAAACAATTTTATTAACCTATTTAAAGGGCTTGAAGAATCATGTTTGGAGTTGTGTGGGGTTGAATTAATATAGTTGTGATATTTTAAAAGTTGGTTGAAAAGAAAAAAAATACGAAGAAAAAAAATACAAAAATAAAATAATGAAGGAAAAGAATTCATGTTCTTATCATATTCCTTCTAGAAAAAAAGTGAAAAATAAAAAGCAAAGAGAAGAGAAAAAGGTTGTAAAGAAGTTGCTGAAAACTGAATGAATTATTATTTAGTTCAACTCCCATAGTCTCTTGTAATTCTATTTTAACTCATTAAATTGTATCCTAGTACTCCTTAAGATTTATCTCACCCTTACCTTGGCCACGTTACAATTTGAATAAAGTCATTTTGATCTTTGTGTGCATATATTTCAAATATGGATGTTAGATTCTTTTCAAACTTATGGTAGTGTTAAATTTCATGATGTGCTTTGAGTGTAAAGAGTTAACCTAAAAACTTGAGAGTTGAGATGATTTTATCCTGTGAGAATCTTCCTGCTTATGATGTACTCATTGGTAACCCATTTTCTTCCTTATTTTGACTGTCACAAAAAGTTACTCACTAACACCATATTACTTGAAACTTAGAATGAGAATTTCACTTACCCATTATGTGATCCTGAAAGTCTTCGAAATTACATGCTTTGTTTTGTTCTTCTTTTTCTTGTTTTTACTCTGTTTTAAATTTTGACTTTAGAATTTTCCTCGAAGTGCAAAGGTTTAAAGTGTGGAGAAATTTGATCAATGTATTTTAATACACCACATTTTACTTTGTGTAAAAGGATTTTTATAACTTGTTACTTTTATTTTATTGGTTTTAGTGTGTTTCTTAAATTTAGCTTATTTCTTCTTTTATTTTAATTAAGTTAATCATTTTTTGAATAAAAGGAAATTCGAAACCTTCTGGGAATTCATTCTTTTCAGCCTTTATTATTTAAATAAACTTTGCAGCCTTAGGGAATTCATTCAATTTTTTACGAAAAAGAGAATAGAGCATACAAATTATATATAGAACTAATCATTTAAGGTTGATCTACTATATTCATATTCCACAACTTTGACGTTTTAATAATTTTCAATTCAATTTCAATTTCTTTTCAATTCTTCATATGAATTCGAATGCATAATTTGGTTGCTTTCATTTGTTTAATTTGATTGCTGCTTATAGGATATAATTTATTAAATTCGACTGTGTTCATGTTCCTTGTCTTTAACCGCGTTTGGTGTAGCTTTTTTATTAATTCGCGTGATCTTTAACCGTTTACTTAATTATGAAATTAGGATCATAAACCATATTGTTGTATCTCAAAAAATGAGAACACGACACTCGCGAAGCGCAATCACACACTCGTTGTGTCGTACCCCAAATTTTGCCCATGTTTCACATAGTACAACTTTATTTTGAATAAATAGAATGAGACAATTGGTAAGAGAACATGTGTAAAAAGTTGTGAGTGTGAGAGGTTATGAGTTTGAATCCCACCTTCCTCACTTTTAGTTATTTTTCGTTTTATTCTTTTACTTCTAATTTTTTCTATTGTATTTTTAAATCATAAAGAATGACAAATTTTAGTTATTTATATTTAATTATTAATTTTTGTATTTTTATTTAATGCATTTTTTAAAATATGATTTTTTTCATTAAAATCATTATTTTATGTATAAAATCTCAAAAAATTCATAAAAATTAAAAAAAATTAAAAACTTTTTTTCATTATCATTATTAGACTATTTTTATTATTTAATTTTTTTTTTAATTTAAATTCACCAAGCCATGAATCCATCCTGATTCATTGGCTTAGCCTTTAAGAAATAAACAAAATCCGGTCAAATTAAATCTTTACTAAATGAGCATGCTTTCCACATTCAATCAAGTCAATCACATTCAAGTTTTTATACCTAATTTTATCTATAAACCGAGCATGCTTTCCACATTCTTTTTCATCCATAATTCACAAATAAATCAATTTAAAAAGTTGTTGCTTCGAAGAACAACAACATTAAAAGGGAAAAAAGATCTTGCACTAAAGGAAAAGGGAGAAAAATACGAAAGAAAGTGGAAAGAAGGAGAAAGGAGCAAGAAGAAACAAAAATGAATTATCTTGCTCGCCGGAATAAACTTCGATCATATAGGTTGATCTCACTTTTAGTGCAATTCTTGTGCGATATTCTGTTTCGATGTTTGATATTTATTTATCTTTTTGTTATATAATGCATGATCTCTTTGTTTTTTTGGTCTGGATTTTGCTCATTATAATGTCTCTTAATTCGTTTATAATTCATAATTGATTTTTTTGGGTATTTTATTCTGTTTTAACAATAATTTTAATTATGATCATTTGTTCCCTAAAAAAAATCATAAGCGAAATAAATTTTTTTATTAAAATTTTATTTTTTTCAAATTTTTATAAAAAAATAATTTTTTTAAACAAAACACCAATATGCTTCTTTTTCTTATTTTATTATGTTATTTATTTTGTATTAAAAAGAGAGAAGCATGATAATATGGCATAGAGATAGCACTAGCTAGTGGTAATAAAGGAGATAATATCTTTTCTTGGAGTTTTTGGCTGACATAAAGATTTACTAGAGTAATTAAATCGGTCATAATTTCTAACTTTTGTTTTGAGAGGAATTCAAAGTTGAGACCAATATATATATATATAATCGGTCATAATTTCTAACTTTTGTTTTGAGAGGAATTCAAAGTTGAGACCAATATATATATATATATATATATATATATATATATATATATATATATATATATATATATATATATATATATATATATATATATATATATATATATATATATATATATATATATATATATATATATATATATATATATATATATATATATATATATATATATATATATATATATATATATATATATATATATATATATATATATATATATATATATATATATATATATATATATATATATATATATATATATATATATATATATATATATATATATATATATATATATATATATATATATATATATATATATATATATATATATATATATATATATATATATATATAATTTCAAAAACAAGAAGTATAAAAAATATAGAAATAGTTAGATAATTATGGTTAATTATGATTAATAGGGGATAAATTAGGGATTTTAATTAATATTAGGGAATAAATTTTAGATTAATTAAATTGGGGATTAATTGTTTTAAAATAACACAAGGGATAAAAATAAGGGATAAGAGATAAAGTATAGGGTTTACAATAAAAGGATAATTTTTAGAGATAATCATGGGATAAATTTGGGATAGAAATTGGATACATTTTTGGGATAAAACTCTTACAATACAAATAGTATAAATATTAGGATTTGCGATAAGGGATAAAACTTGGGATTTTTTATACATATATTATGGAAATTAATTTATTTTCGAAATAAATTAAAAGGGATATTTTTGCAATAAAATTGGGATAAAGCAAATGTCATGCACTTAAATTGTAAGTCCTCTGCCATTGTGCATTAAGTCATTTTTTCAAATCAAACATTTTTTCACCCCCGTTATGTGAGAAATTTTAAGGGATAAAAACAACCAACAAACAAATTTTTTAAAAGGAGAACTTTGGTACTCTGATCCTTCATTTAATATGAGGGTACGTAGGTATAGAGTTGTAAACTCTAGCGAGTACAATTATAAAAAACTTTTTGGGTTTTTTTTTGTTAATAAATAAATAATTAAATATTTAAAAACGATAAGCAAACATCTTTAGGCATACTAACCCTAGAATTATAGGAAGGTTCCATTGAGTACAATAGAGGTAACGGGTTCCTAATACCTTCCACTCGTTTAATCGACGCTCGAACTAAGTCTCCCACCCTTAATCTTTAGCTTTTATCATTATTTCCATGTCTCTTAGGACGAATAAAGGATGATGATGACTCTGTCATTTTTTCGGCTGCGACTTTGCTGGGGACTTCTAATACTTCCCTAAAAATAGAGTTCATCCTAACCTTGGGTTTTACGATTCTTGTTTGTTTGCCTTCTTTGTTTATTGCTTTTCTATATATATTTTTCATGTTATTATATATATATATATATATATATATATATATATATATATATATATATATATATATATATATATATATATATATATATATATATATATATATATATATATATATATATATATATATATATATATATATATATATATATATATATATATATATATATATATATATATATATATATATATATATATATATATATATATATATATATATATATATATATATATATATATATATATATATCATATATTTTAATTGTCATCATATTTGGTTGTGATATATTTATGTGTAAAGCTAAAAAGCAAGCTCAAAGTTCAACCCTAAGTTAGGACGTAGAATTGAAATGTTTTCGGGGAGATGTGACATCTCACTGATGCATGAAGCTACACTCAAAAGAGGCCCTTCAAAGTTTTCTTCATGGTAAGGTATACCCTTAACATAGTTTATGATTTGGATGTGCTCCATGACTTTGTGAACCTTTAGAACCCCTTTTTCAACTCATGATAACCTTATGTATTCAACCCACGAGGATTGTTACTAGGGTCCTGCCTAGATGAGACTTATTCCGAAGGATTACCGTAGGAAGGCTTGCTCATTCTCATGGTAAAACGATGGTATAGTCCATAAATTATAGGGTTGCCATACTACCACAAACTTTATATCCTACATGTGAGGGGATTAGATAGACTAAACTTGAATCTAGCCTATCATAGGGAGCCTACCTAAGCTAGGTCATACTTGCATATCACCTTATCCTAACCTGCAAGCCCTAAAAAAGGGCATTTCATTAATCATCTTCATCAAAATCTTTTTGCATTTGTGTCACACAAGAATCTTAACTATTTTTTTATAAAAAAAATGCAAAGCTGAAATAATGGAATTTGGAAAGAAGAATACCTTCCTAACCAAAGTAAGTGAATCTGACATAGAGGGTTTGGAATTCTATGCCATAAGGTTGCCAAAAGAAATAAGGAAGCCCATAATCCGTAAGTATGAGGCAATCTTTGACCTTGTTATTGTTCATGTTCAAAAGGAAGGTTTAACTGCTTTAGCTCAATTCTATGATCCTGAATTGAGATGCTTTCATTTCCATAATTTTCAAATAGCCCCCACCCTTGAAGAGTTTCACAAGATCTTAGGGCCTCCTAAGAATGCAAAGGGTCCTTTCAAAGCAATAGGTTATTGTCCCTTAATTGGGGAAATTCCTGATTATTTTCACATTCATGTTGATGATATACAAGCTAACTTAAGGGTCCAAGAGGGTTTCAAGGGTTTCTCAAAGGGTTTTTTTTGGAAAATAAAGCTGTTAATTTTGTTTCCTACAAGAATTGGGAGGTAGTGGACAATATAATGACACTTCGTTTCTTTGGGTCACCTTGTTTCCTAGTGAGAAGAACTTAGTGAACATTACAACGATTAATATATTCTTAGCAGTAACAATTGGGGAAGATGTTAGAACAAGATTTGTTCATGACATATTCTCTTTTAGTTTTGATGATAACAAAAGTATTGAAAGAACAATGACTTATTTAATGTGTTTTTTATTTATGCAGGTTCTTGTTCTTGTACATAAACAATCAGAATATGTTTTACTTAGACACACTTGAGAGTTGCTTCATTGCTAGCTTCTGGTGGCAGAATATGAAGAACATTTATTGGTGTGGCTTGGTGCAGACTCTGGTGCTGAAGGTCCAGTATTTAGACGAGTCACTACACTTGTCAATTGTATATCAGAATTTGGTACCATTCAGAGTTGGTGATAAAGCTGGAAGTCGTTCGTATTGCATAAAGCAAATTGTGTCGTCTTACCAGTTTGTCAATCAGAGTCTACAGATTGCAAGGCTCAAGAAAAGATAACATGCTTTATGGATGACTGCTTCAAATGACTCTATCAGTACGAGAACCTCTTGAAGAGTCAAAGGTTAAACATGTTACACATTGGATTCAGAATCTGTTGTTCATCCATCTTCAACGTCTCTTATACTATGGGGCAAAGACAAAGACACTTGAACAAGTTACTTCCTCAACGACTAGTTTTCTACAAAGGCTATAAATATGGCTGAAGGTTCTTATTGAAAAAAAATAACAAGGATTCTCCTGACGAAGGAGTAGCAAGATCAAGCAATTATCAACTTTCTTGTAATATGCAGATTTTTTTTTGTAGGTTGTAATCATAAAAGCCTTAATATTTCTTAAACATTGTATATCTTAGAAATCTTAAGTGCTTTAGTTATTTGTTATGGTGATTTCCGTAACTCTGATATATTTATCATGTACACCTTGTTCTCTATCCTACTGGGCCTATTCAGTAGTTCAGATCATAGTTTATTGCTATGTGCTTGAGCAAAAGTCTTGTCTCATTGGGATTCAAGCAACAAGTCTTAAACCAATATGATTGAGCTACGTAAGTCTCCTGCTATGTGCTTGAGCTGTAAGAGTCTTAATCAACAAGGTTGATTGAGAAGAAGTCTTGAGCCCAAATCCTTAAGCTACATAAGTATCATCGCTTAAGTGCTTGATCTATGAAAATGAAAGTCTTATTCATCCAAGCTGATTGAGCAAAGGGAAAGTCTTAGTCTGAGGGGCGTGAGCATAAAGTCTCAAGTGCTTCTTGAGCAAGGAAGACTCAGTTATGATGGCTAGAAGAGTAGGTGGCTTGGTTAAAGGATGTGAGAAAGGAAGTCTCAAACATGTGTTTTAATAAAGAAAGTCTCAGACAGTTGGTCTAAGAAAGTGTAAAAGACTTATGTAGAAGCATAAGCGATTGTAATCATGAAGTGGTTATAATGAAAATTTCTTGTGAGGCAAAGGGACTGGAATACTCTCAATTAGGGGAGGAACCAGGATAAATCTTTTGTGTCTTCTATTGTTATTTATTACTTTTGTTATATCCACTGCCAATGAATTAAAACAAAATCTAATCACCAGTTCTAATTCTGAAATTCTGATCAGAAGTTAAATTAAAGAAAACGCACAACATAATTCAATCCCATACTCGTTTACTTTTCACACCTTTAGAAGAAGATCCTATATCAGCTCTCCTTGTAGATGTTCAATTTACTCTTCAATTAAGACATGTCAAGAAAGGAGGGGTAATGTTATGTTGTGCTCTGTTATTATATAAGTGGCTTGGTTCTTATTTGGTAAGAGATATAACAGATATTGAATGTATGAATGGGTACAATTGGGCCCAATACTTGGTCTCCCGTACTGATACAGACATCTTATGGTTCCCTCAAATCCTCCACCGTAAGGATGTGATCTTAAGGTATGGGGATTTTCTTAATGTTCCACTGATAGGTTCAAGAGGGTGTATAAGTTATAATCTCATTCTTGCTATGAGGCAATTAGGGCACCCTTTAGCCTATAAACTTGAAGGTAAGTTATTGGAGGGTTTTATCTTACAAAAAGTAACCGCGAATAATCCTATTGTTCTTAGAATTGTTCATGCTTGGAGGCATCTCATCAAAGGAAATAGTAGCCTTAAATAACCCATGGAGGAATCCATAATACCCTATGCCCAATGGATGAGAGAAAGGGTAAGTATAGTAAAGTTACCATTTGCTTTGGATTATTCCATGGAATTAAGGGCCCCCACACCAGCTGTGATCTCCATGGAAGAGGGAGAAAATCTCAAGGATACCATCCTACAAATAAAAAGGGAAAATGAGGAATTGGAAGGAAAGTTCTACCATACTATGTACGAGAAGAATCAATTAAATATAAGTCTCAATGAAGCACTAGAACAGATCAAGATTAGTGAAAGGATGACAAAGGTGGAAGAGGAAAAGAAGGAGCAAGCTTATGCCGACCTCGGAGTTTTGATTTCATGCCTCAAAGAATACAAGGATGAATTAGATAGAGCTAAGTACCAAAAGGATGAAAGGAAAAATATCTAGTTAAACTCTACTCAAATTTAGAAGGAATTTAGGGAAGGATATAAAGGACGAATCCAAACTTTGGAAGCTGAAGTACAAAGCTTGGTCAATGCACTCTGTGAAACTAAGATTCAAGCTGTGAACTCAATGCTACGAAGAAGAGTCGTAGAAGAACTTCTTGCTAAACATTCATATGAATGGAGGCAAGCTTATGAAGAGGTTTTGGAGCTTAGAAGACAAATGGATATCCTTGAAGGAGCCTATGAGGAGTTGAGAACATGAGGCATCTACATGGAGTGGTATAGTCAACAAATGAAGGATACCATTGAGAAAGATAATGCAATTATGTTAGACCTTCAACAGAAGGAAGAGTATTATAGACAAAGGTATCTGGAGTTGGTCATGTTGTCAAATTACCTAATTGATGAAGTTCCCCGGAGTCTAAGAGCGGAGGAATACATGGTGGACATCTTCAAACCCAAGGAGGAAATCATTGAATTCCTTAAATTATGCCGTCATAAAATGGAAGAATTTAGAGCCATAATTAGGTGTTGTTGTCAGAATCCCTTTATGTAATGGTTTGTTAAGTTGTATTATCTTTCAATTATGAACAAGTTTAGGGTTTCTCCCTTGATTAATTTACTTTAAGAATAAATCATAGGGCTTCGTCCCTTGTATTTCCATTTGAAATGAATATTTGAATTTCCATTATTCTCATCTTTTCTTATAATTGATGAATGGTTAAGATTCCTGCAAAATTATTTTTTGCATACTCATACATTCACAAAAAAAATAGCATGGATAATAAACATAAAAGAAACAAAATCATTTTTTCCATCATCTTTTCCTAGAATCATCGGACATAACAATCTAACTTCCTGACCTCGAACTCGAGCTCACCAAAGGAAGGCCATGGAGCAATTAGAATAAAATCAATTTACTCTCAGAGGAGACGTCGAAATTGTCAAGGGAAATATGGAAGAAATGAAGGACAGTTGACTCATGCCATCCAAAACTTGATAGCTAGGGAAACTGAGCCTAGCAATAAAGGGAATGATCCAACTCTTACCCCTCAGTTTGAGAATAATAACCCTCTATTCGGATTTGCCGTAGATCTTGAATGTGAGGAAGTTGAAGCTGCCAAACAAAAACCTAGTGCCCAACCCCCCGGAGGATCTGTTCCTTCGCCTATGCCTAATGAGGCGTCTCGTCCTATGCAGATACCTGTTTTGTGTGAAAACTATGAAGAATGAAACCTCCAATATAAGGGGAAAGAATAAAGAAAGATTATCCTGGATAGCAAGCTGGCTAATACTATGGAGGGACGAAGGGTTGATAACAAATATAAAATGTTGGAGAGAGACTAAGGGCTATTGAGGGATTCAATGTTTTTGAAGTTGACGCTGCAGAAATGTGCTTAGTACCTGATGTGGTCATACCTCCTAAGTTCAAATCACCTGAATTTGAAAAATACAAGGGTGTCAGCTATCCTAAAAATTACCTCTAGATGTTTGCCCGAAAGATGGCTGCTTGTTCTACAAACGAGAAGCTGATGATGCATAACTTCCAAGACAGTTTAAGTGGGGAATCCTTGGATTAGTATATGCAATTAGAGAGGGTTCATGTCAAGACCTGGGAAGACCTTGCCAATGCATTCTTAAAGAAATACAAGTACAACATGGACATGGCTCCTAACCGTATGCAGTTATAGAACATGTCTCAAAAGGGTAATGAATCTTTTAAGGAGTATGCTCAAAGATAGAAGGAACTAGCTTCTCACGTGCAACCTCCATTGCTAGAAAGTGAATTGGTGGATATGTTCATGGGTACTCTACAAGGGCCATATTATAAAAAGATGATTGGTTCAATATCAAATTGATTCATTGACCTAGTTATAATTGGGGAAAGGATAGAGAATGGCTTGAAAATTGGGAAGTCATCTTCAAATCAACATAGCAATAAAAAGTACTCAGGAAACAATTCAAAGAAAGGTGATACCAATTCTATTACTGTTGATAGGATGCTCAGATACCCTAGAATCGTTATGTAGTTATAAATGCTCCTACTTAGTACCCGCCATAGACATATCCTACACCTAAAATCCAACAGTCTTAGGCACCGCCTCTACAGAATCAGCAACAATGAAACCGATATCCACGAAGGGATCAAAAGAGGCCATGGAAGGAATTTGACCCCACACCTATGTCATATACTTAGATCTTGATGTACTTAATTCAAAAAGGAGTGGTGGATATTAAACCTTTAGAACCTCCTCCCGCACCTCCTCCTCGAGGATATAATGCTAATGCTATATGTGACTTTCATGCTGGTTCACCAGGGCATACCACTGAGAAGTGTTTGGATCTCAAGTTCAAAGTACAAGAATTGCTCGATCAAAATATTATTTCCTTCACTCTTGAAAATCCAAATGTGGGAAATAATCCGTTACATGGGCACGCTG